GAGGAGTGGCTGGTGGGTTTGAACTGCCAGCCTTCTGGTGAGCAGTCAAGTGCCTTAGGCACTATGCTACCAGAGCTCCCTTAGAACAATGGAAATGTAGAAATGTTGAGGATACCTGCTGGCCCATGTTCCCCATGACTGTGATCCTGAGCCACCAAGCCAGAGGCCCTCCTTTCTGCTAGGAAGCCCCTCATAGATTCCCATGTCATTTTCCTCTCATTGCTGCCCCACTGGGGCTGGGATTCAAACCCAGCTGGTCTGGCTCTAGAGGTGTGCCCTTGACCCCTGTCCTGCCTCTTCAGACCTAGAGGACATTCACTCATGCACAAGGAGAGGTGGATGACCTGCCCACCCAGACTGCAGGGCTGGCTCCAGCCCACCATGTGTGAGTGACGGGACATGGGCGAATTTGAATTTTGACCTTGGAGATCTCCCCTTCCAGCTCCTGCCCACGCAGCCTCTGCCCAGTACCACCATTCCTCACAAAGACGCAAGAGTCTCAGACCAGGAGGTACCTCTCAGACCTCCTCCCCAGTGAAGCTTGACAAGGACCTTCATCTAAAAATATGCCTGGGGCCGCAGAATTTTCTCACAATGTGGCCTGGCTGAAAATAGAATAATGGGAAACTTCGAGAAGTAGTAAGCTTCCCGTCTCTGGAGGTGTTCAAGCAGTGGCTAGAGGGCTGCTCATTTGTGCTCCAGCAGAGTTCTGGCACTCAGCAGGGATTGTACTGGAGACAGCTGAGAACCCTCTGCTTTGCTTTCCAGTGACGTCAGGCACCTTCATTCCATCCACCTGTTGTTAATGCAGCCCCTCTTTTCTCTTTCAGAGCCCACTGCCCCCGAGACACCCAGAGGGAAGCCCAAGCTGAACATCCTCTCCCAGGCTCCACTCATCCGATGGGTCCTCACACTTAGCTTTCTAGTGGCAACGGTGGCCGTGGGGCTGTATGCCATGTGAATGCAAACAAGCTGGCTCCTGGGGCCATGAACTCTGTCCAGCAGAAGGCCCTCAAGAGAAGGAAAATCTCACAGCTGACATCTCTACCTTAGGCATGGGGGGTCTGTTCCGGGGTCCCTGCCCTCTCTCTGTGGCCCTCTCTGTCTGCAAAGGAGGAAGGAGTCCTTCAGCGTCCTCATCCAAAAGCACAGCCAGCCCAGTGACCAGAACCCCCAGCGTGGGGCGGGACCCTTGCATCCCTGTTCCTGTAGCAGAGCCAGAAGAGGCAGTCAGGACAGTGACTGTCCTGACCCTCCAGATGTCCCAAGTTCACAGTCTCCTGGCTGACAGCCGTGACCGCTTTCCCTTTGGGCTATGGCAATTTTTATATAAACTTGCGAAAATGTTGTGTCTTATGTTTCTGTCGGAGCCGCTTTTTGTGGCCGGCCATGCCTGAACTGTGATATTTTGTTGTGTTCCGTTATGTTGTTATCACAGGGTGGGGGTGGTATTTGGGGGTAGGGTTGGTGAGTGGGGCGGGACATGTTTAACAGCACCGTGGCCTTGGTCTCTAACTTGTATGTGAAACAATAAACTACACTGCCTCCTAGTAACTTGCAATATTTTTCTTGAGCTCCCTGGGGAACTGACCTTTTCCTCTCCTGTTTCTTGAATGCCTGCTGGGGAGCCAGGGTGGAGGAGCTGGTTTCCAACATTGTACCCAGTTGGGAGAGTGTGGGCAGTCGGCCTTTGGCAGTTGTTGGGTGAATCATTGCCTCGTGCCACCTTGGTGCAAGACCTGCCTTTACTGAGCATGGGGCTGCCCTGTGAGGAGGAAGTGATCAGATTCCGGGGCCAAATGTATGAGTTCTGTGCGCTGAATCTTCAGGACTGGAGACAGGTCCTGGGTTCCGATCCCTGCTACTGCCCTCCATAGCTCTGACTCTGAGGTTAGTTCTTCAGCCTCATAGCATGCATATGGTGATAACTGCCCCATTAGCCTGCCTTGAGAGCAAATGAGATGTCTGGAAAGTGCCACCACCATATGACATTAGCAGCTATTATGGAAGAGGGGAGCCCAGTGGTTTGTGATTCTTGCTAAGTGGTCCTTGACCTGTGCAAGTCACTTCACCTCTGTCCCCTCGCCTAATCTCACAGCACACCTGTGAAAAGCTGTTACCACTGAGGGTCAGAAAAAAAAAGCAGGTCTGACCAGCACTGAGGAGTCCCTGGGTGGTGAAATGGTTCTATGCTCGGGCACTACCTGAAAGGCTGCAGGTTCGAGCCCACCCAAGGTACCTCGGAAGGAAAGCCCGAAAGATCTAGTCTGAAAAAATTGTTCACTGGCCACCCTGTGGAACAGAGTTCTACTCGGACACATGGGGGCGCCATGTGTCAGAATCGACTTGAGAGCAACTGGATGGTTGTGGTTCTAGCTCCAACACGGAAGCCCTTCTCACTGCCCTAGCTGGGGAAGCTACCGAGATGCTCAACATGCAGCCTCCAAACCCAGGAAGGTGACACCCCTTCACTGAAAGTGCACTGCACAGAGCAGGGATAGGGTCCTTATAGGGTCTGTTTATGAGGACCGGAGTCAGGGGACTCTAGTCCTGACTTTGTCACTAAGTCTGTGACCTTGGACAAGTTGCTTCAAGTCTCATTTTGTTCAGGGGTAAACTAGGAACAACACATCCAGTACTTGGGAGGATCTCAAAACACTGCCTTAAAGTAGATTCCAACTCATAGCAACCCCCATTGGGTTTCCAAGACCATAAATCTTTATGGAAGCAGACTGCCTCTTCTTTCTTCCACAGAGCAGCTGGTGGGTTTGAACCTTTTGGTTAGCAGCCAAATGCCTTAACCACTACACCACCAGAGCTCCTTGGTGGGAGAGTCAGTGATGTCCAAACAGCAGCCTATGGATGGTGGCATCAGAATCACTCAGAGACCTTCAACCGTGGAATCCAGGGCCCCACCCTGAGAAACTCTGATTCAGGAGACTGGAGGTGGGACTCTGGAATCTCTGCTTCCGATGCTCCCTGGGGGCTCTCAATGCACTGCCAGGTCTGGGAGCCACCATCGAGATTCTGTATGCAAAGGCACTCTGGGGGCATAGTGCTTAAGCACTCAGCTGCTAACCAAAAGGTTAGCTGTTCAAATCATTCAGCGGCTCCATAGAAGGAAGGCCTGGCTCTCTGCTTTCGTAAAGATAACAGTGTAGGAGACCCTAGGGGGCAGTCCCACTGCAGCCATCACATGGGGGCGCTACTCTATACCATGGGGTTGCTGAGCTGAATCAACTCGAGGACACCCAACAACACCATGCAGAGGTTAAGCATTCAAATTGCAGCCGTAGCTCAATCTCTCTTGGACTCAGTTTCCTCAAAGGGGCAGAAATGCTGTTTCATTGGCAAAGAAAGGAAGGAATGGAAGAAGGGAGGACAGAAGGAAAGAACTAAAGATGGTAGAAAGGAAGGAAAGGGAACCCACCTTGATTCTAACAGGAAAGTCTGAAGAATTTCTGGTCTGTCCTCATTAGGGGCAATTAAGGAGCTATTATAAAGAATGAATTAAATCTATGCCTGCTGACCTGGACAGACGTCCATAAAATATTAATGAGGAAAGCAAGTTCCAGATTAATACCTTTTTTTTTATGAAAATCCTCCCCATATTTGTAAAGATACGTTTGTGCGAATGGGGCAAAAGGAGTGCAGGGCTCTGTTCCATTTGGTCCCGTTGAGGGGTGGGGCAGGAGAGCACTGGACAGGGGACGATGCACTTCTGCTTAATAAGCACAGAAGCAAGCAGCCTCTATGCACCAGGCACCGTGTGGCTGAATCCACTGTAACTACCCGTTTGTTTTCCAATTGCTAGACAAGGACATCAGGTTTGGTAAAGTGGAGGGTCAGCGACAATAAGGGAGACACTCCACAAGATGGAGTAACAGTTGCCACAACAATGGACTCAACCACATCAACTATCAAGACGGCAGCGGACTTAGAACCGTTTTTTCCTGTTATACACGAGGTCACCATGCACTGGAGCTGACTCAGTGGCTGCTGACAGCAACAGTCTGCTTTACAGATGAAGAAACAGAAACACCAGGAATTCAAAGTAACTTCTCAAGGTCACTTAACTCCAAGGGGGCAGGGTTGTCATGTTGTTGCTGTTAGGGGCCGTCAAACTGGCAGCAAAACACTGCCCGGTCCTTTTCTAGTAACATGTCAGACACTGTTTCATCTCTATTCGTAAGGTTTCCAGTGGCCAGTTCTTTCAGAAGTGAACGGCCTCGTCCATCTTCCTAGTCTATTGTAATCTGGAAGCTCCATTGGAAACTGTCCGCCAAGGGTGACCCTGCTGGCATTTGAAACGCCAGTGCCATAGCTTCCAGCCTCACAGCAACACTCAAGCCACCACAGTCCAACGAAGTGCAAGATGAGTAGGTTGTTATATGAGCTTGTAATAAAAGCTCTTAATACTATTTAGGAAGGTAATACAACACAATGGTTATGGGAATGGTTGGTGGGGGTGAAGAGATCATTTCTTATCTTTCCTTTTTTTTTTTTTTAATTGTGATTTGGGTGAAAGTTTACAGAGCAAATTCACTTTCCATACAGAAGCCCCCCCACACTTTGTCTCATGAGATTGACTACAATTTACCCCAATGCAACAGCTCCCTTCCCACTTCCTCCCCATAGTTACCTCTTCCCTGTGTCCATCCCTCCATGCACTCCTGCCCCCTGAGCTGTCTCCCTGTGCATAAGCAGCCCTTCTTTCTCCCATGATTGTTCTCTCCAAGGAGTGTATCTACTTGAGGTAAATGTTCAACTCATATGCCTATCTTTTGTTTGGCTGGAAGCCACAGGTGTGGGTTCAATTCCAGACCTGAAGGGCAGCTGGGGGACATAGTCTCAGTGGTTCCACCAGGCTCCATCAGACCAGCAAACCTGGTTCCCCCCCCCCCTTTTATTTTTCCCCAAATGATTTTGACTTTTGTTCCACATTGTTCTCCCTCTCTGTCTAGGATCTCCTACATAGATCCCCCTCTGAGCGGTTGACAGTGGTAGCTTGGCACCATCTAGTTCTTCTGGTCTCATAGTCGTATAGGCTGCAGATCACATGGTTTACCAGACGATTGGACTAATTGTTTCCATGAATCTTTGGTTTTCTTCATTCTTCTTTGCTCTGGACAAGGAGAGACCCATTGTTCCATCTAGATGGCTCCTTTTAAGATCCCAGTCAGAAGAGATCATTTCTAATTCATATAATTTTCCAGGAACAGAACCAGCCCCAAGGGGCATTTTTTTCAGTGATACAGATGTCCACGGGCCCCAGCAAGTCATGATTCTGAGGCTATCCCTGAAGTCTCAGGTTGAGGGCAGGATCTTAAGAGTTCTGCAAATCTTGGGGCCACTGACACTCTACCCCTCAGTTCTGGCAGCCCGAAACAATTCTCAGAGTCCCTGACACAGTTTGCGGCAGACCATTTTAGCAGGGCATGCCCACCCTTTCTGACAAAGGAGTAGGACAAGGCCACCCTACAAAGAGCTCAGGAGATGGTAGGACTGAGTTGACAGGTTCAGTCCCACCACTGGCCACTTGGTTACACTTCTTCAAGCTTTGGATTTGACTTTTTCTTCAACACAAGTTACCCCAGGATGGGGCAGACGGAAAGTTGTCAGTTAACTTCACAAAGCTTAGGTGGGGCAGTGGTAGGCACAGAGGAAGAGGTTGGAAGAATGGGGTTTTAATTCTGGCTTGAACACCAACTCATTTAGTATTTTCAGCTGACCACTCTGTGCCTTAATTTTCCCGTTTACATAATTCCCTACCGAACTATATGGCTCCCCCCGTCCTCTGCCTTTCTTCTCCAGGGCTTCTAGGAGGGTTTGAACTGCCAGTTTGTTAAGGTTGCCAACAAGTCAATTTTCTCTTTTCCAACTCAGTGACCCATGTGACAGAGTAGAACTGTCCCACAGAGTTTTCTAGGCTATAATCTTGACAGAAATAGATTGCCACAT